GATCGGACTGAAAAAGAAAAAAAAAAAAGGGGGGAGGCCTTACATTCAAAAGACTGTCATCAATAGTTAATTTTGTATCGTCCCCTCCAGGTTTTTTGTTTTTTTTTTGGTGTAATCCCCACCAGTGTAGGTTGCACAAAAACATTTTTTATTTTTAAAAGTGTTTCTGCGTGACATGTTTTCAACAGGGGTGTGTGTTCCATCCTGATTTTATTTTTATAGTTACGAGAATGGGATGTATTATAAGGAACAGTTTTCTTCCCTTGAGAATCCTCAGTTGCACTCTTCCCCTTTTATTGTTATTATTATTTTAAATTACATAATAAAAAATATTTTTTTATTTTTTAATCAAACCTACTTACATATTATGTAATTCAAATTTAAAATTTTTTATTTATATTTGACCGGATGCACTCTTTTTATTGTTATTTTTTAATAAATAAGATTAGAAGTCAAAATCTAAATTTATAATTAAGAATACAAATAATTTTACCATTAAAATAATGCACTATTTTTTTATTAAATAGTGCATGTAAGTTGGCAATAATACACCATAATCATTAAAAAAAACCTTCATTAGTGGTACTTGGTTTTGGAAATAATTTTTGGAGTTATTGTTAAATTTCTAAATTTTATAATTTTTATAAAATTGAAAAATTTATAATCATTTAGCTTGACTTTTGTAAGAAAAATGTTTTTATAATGGCAATTATTTTTAAGAAAGATTCTAGTTCATGTTTTTCATGTGATGAAAACAATTCAATTCACATTTTAAGTCCATGAATATTTTCGGTTTTCCCCTTTTCTAAGAGTTTTCCTTCTCTTCCTTATGGAAATGAATATAAAGTAAACAGCAGAATTACCAAAACCCGAATTGGAGCTCTGTGTTCTGTTTAGAATGACAAAAGAACCTATAAAAAACCCTAATCAAGTAAAATTAGGCAACTGGATCAAGCAGCCAAGGCAAGTGTTCTTTTGGCCTTTTTTTCTTCTTGATATTCAATGTTAATATATATATATTAATAGTTTAATAGGATCCAGTTAACTATTTTAATATATTTTAACCCTTAAACTTTTCTAATAATTTTAACATAAAAATCAACATTAATATCAACTTTAGAACCCACTCTACTAGAAAATAACAGAAGGGTACTAACAAGTAGAATTAATAGTCCTTCAACAATTGAAATCCCTCCCAGTATCCCACCTTCACTATGGCAAGACGGATCAAGGAAAAGGGAGAGCTATCCCCAGAGCTATTCCAATGTAACAGAACCTAAACTTGTAAAAGGATACAAGTGAATCATCCTCTCTGTACTACTGCATATGCCTCAAGAGTCAAAAGACAAATTATTACATTCCTTACAACAGTGCCTCTGCCAAACTATGGTCAAATCTAACACACAAGCTGTTAGTAGCTGATGCAGAACACAAGTATTGCAATTCACATATGAACAAGAGCAACAACATTACCTAAATTTGTGAATCTTGGGAAATGGATTTTTCACACTTAGCATAAGCTGCTTCCTCAATCCCAATCCCTGTGGATGTGGAGACGATTGAAACAATCCCTATATGTATCTAGGTATCATATATGAATTAGATCGTGGGCCAAAAAAATAAAAGATATGAAGTAGATTGGTACATTGAGATTTCAGAGCCTGTAGCCATGCAAATGCTTAGCCCATCTTCTAGCCATGAAAGGATCATGGTAATCCCAACTTTCGACATTGCTGGTCCTCCCTGCAATGATGCTGACATCTCTTTCTACACCAACACCTCCCTCATCTGTTTCTCCTTTCTCCCCTATACTCACCACAGTTTCCCCTGTTCTGATGCACCCATCAACTCCACCCTCAATGTAGCTATATCCCACGCAAACATGTCCACAATCCCCCAACTCTAGCAAAACTTTTCTCTCTTCACCACCTCTTAGTTCTCCAAGTCTAATCATCCTGCCTTCTTCCCCAATTCTTAACTGGATATCTCTAACAACACCTCCCAACAGTCTTGCTAGGAACTCTTCAAACTCATGCATGACAAATCCATTTGAGGAGCCAAAGCCAAATCCCACATGAAACCGATGGACTGGGAAAGCCACTTGCAAGTTCATGGTATGGTATGATCTTGTTGGACAATCAGACAGATGCAAGATACAGGACTGAAAATTCTTGTATGCACGATCTTCAAGTATCTTTATCCCCTTCTTCAGCCCTTCAATGGGATCAGCTTGCCCCATGTAGAAAAGACGATCAATCACCTGTAATGCTGTTCGCTTCCCATATGAGGTCATCCTCCTAAGAGGGAAGACACGTGCTGCTGCAGATGAATATGTCACAATGGCCAAACGGTCAATGGGCCGGAGGGAGAATACCACTAATGCCATTGACTGCTTTAAAAGCCTTAGATGTGGTCCATTGGGACTTGCAACCAATACCATGTCAATTGCTGGAGGATGTGCCAATTTTATTGATAGATAGGCTGCTCTCCTAATTGAGGTGCAGAACATATAAGGCGTTTGCCCGTTTGGTGGCTGTAGCAATAAGGATGATGAAGAGGTGCTGGTGAAGTGATGATGACAGTGATAATGGTTTGAGGTATGCCCCATCCCAAGCATTTGCAAAGAGGATGAATGTGCGCATGGATGATGATTAAAGTTGCAGGGTTGAGCCAGCACTGCTGATGGAATGGCCTGCAGAGAGAAATCAAGACGTTCCTGATTGAGCATGTGGTCTGGCTCAATTGGGTCATCATCATCGTAGCGTGCTGAGCGTAGAAAGGATCGCCTATGGACCCGAAAAGTGGCAATGGAGTCATCCAAGATCCGCAAAACAGGATCATTCTGGTTGCAAGAAAGGGAACATGCAGGTGAGTTGAGGTTACGGGGCAGCTGAGTCCAATGGGCACGACAAATAGGACAGGTAACGCTCCCATGTCGGACATTGGAGGAGATGCAGGAAAAGTGGAATGCATGAGAGCACTGTGCTGTGAATATAGCTTGCCCCGGGCTGCTGCCTGTGCTGTAAGTCAAAGCTTCCAGACATATCGCACACAAGTTCTGTCACAACGCATAAAACCTTAAGGAGCAGTGATGACATAAGAAAATACCAACTACACTCTACTGAAGTGTTCAATTGAGAAAAGCTCAAACACATTCAAGTTTAGAGGATAATGCCTTTCTCTTCTCTCAGAAAAGAAAAAGTACCAACAGAAAACCAATCTAAGGTAAAATGATTGTTGGTCTGAATAAAAACTGTTCTTTGCATTCTCAAGGATCCAATAGAAGAAAACTTATTTCTTGCAGCCATGCTCATTTGAAAGATAAAAATGATATTAACATACATGTAAATCAAATAACTTGAACCTGAAACACTTGACCTAAAGAAAAAGAAAGACCACATAAATACTTTCTAGCTTGAAAAAAAGGAGCACAATTCCTAGTTTTATGTGAATGTGAAAGTAAATATAGAAAGCATGAAAACAATGTAATTTAGTATGAAATATGAAGGCAGAGCACCAGCAAACATGAGATATCAATTGTCAAAGGTGAGAGAGCCAGTGGATTCCAGAAGGCTTTTGAGCATTGCAGCTTCAATTAAAAATGTACCTTGGAATGATTGGGGGTGGATTCTACTTCCTCTCCACCGTCTGCTTTTAGCTTGTTGGGTGGCATTAATGTTGATGTATCTGGCATCTGTACACATTTTACACACACAGCACATTAGAACTGTTATCCACTCTTCATTTCTTTTTTCATTTTTATTTGTAACAATAAAAAATAAGAATGGCCATGAATCATAATTCATAAACAGGGAAGAAGCAGATTTTGTAAATCTGCTAATTTGTAACGGTATGACAGATGCACATGTATTGTATTGAATGTATGTTAGTAGCAGCAGGTTCGGGAACAAATAAAAATAAACAAAAAAAAGTTGGCCTGTCATGCCATGCCATCAATCACTATCATCAAGAATATATTTTAGTTGATTTCATTGAATTTTGTTTCCTATTAATCCCATCAACAACTTGGCCAAATAATGATCACAAAAAAAGGGGGCCAAATATCAATTGATTTTGTCCAATCCCAGATAAACAGAGTCACTACGCAAAATTCTAATCACCAAACAACATTTGAATTAACAATCAACTCCTATTCTCAGCCTCCAAATCTATTGCTAAAGCTAATGCAGTGACAAGGCCCGGCCACGTTACATACATACTCATCTCCAAAAAGGGAATTCTTTTGAAAAACTTACTGCACTCACTCATCCTTATCTCACTATACCCTCTTTCTTCCATGGAACCGATATCCCTTTTCGGGATTTAGTGTTATAACATGAAACCAAACAGAGACAACAAATTAATAGTTGCCTTTCACAACTTCTGCCTAAGTAACACTCTCAGGTCTTGACCAAAAAACGCACATTGTGCTTGTTTATCCTTCCACAGAAATCTAATGACTGAAGGTGCTAAATTCCAGTCCCACCACTGAGATGAAACAAATAGCAGATTGTGTGCACTGTAATCCAATTGATCTGAGAAACAAACATTTATGATCCGAGGACAATTTAGATTAGCAACCACCCTGGGAAAATGGGTATGATTCATTACCATTCTCCTGGATTCTAAATGGGTTTCTTCAAGAAGAAAACTTTTACTTGAATAACCCATTAAATCTCAATCTGTCTACGACACAACTCAATTTGCACTCAGAATTGTAAGAAAACGAAAGAAATGGCAAACAAAATGTATGCCTGAGCCTGTATCAAACTGGGAAATGCAGGCATACAGAGAATGAAGTAGCTTACCAGAGGAGGAGGACTAGCCCTGGAGAAGGACAAGGAGCCGCATGCAGCCACCATCTTCCTGGCTGCTTTTCTGAGCTTTGAAGAAGCTCCTCCAACCCCCATTACAACTGTCTTCTGGATAGATGGAGAGAGCAGAATGGGGCAGATACAATTCTGTCAAATCTGCAATATTTGCTGTCCCCCGTTGGGTTCCTCAGTTTTATTTTTTCACAAAGAAAATTCCTTTCACTCTCCCACTCTCGCCCCACATAAATCAACTTCTTCCTTCCTTTTCCCCTTTTATATATCTACCCTCCACTCCACTGCATCCCACTTACTGTTTCTTTATTGCTTTTCTCAACACTATTACAGTTCAAATGAAAGTTCTCTTTTTTTTTTTTTTTACCATCTCTTCTTAGACATTTCTTTACCTTTTCCTTTTCAAAACCCCACTTTCCTATTATCAAAAAAAAAGTCCAGTTTCCTATTTTGCTTAGTTCTATTTACAGTACAAACAATGCCAATTGCCAGATGGAAAACATGCTTAGTGCTTAGGAAAGACTTGAATTTGGAGGTGCTAGATGGGGAGCCAACTTGAGAAAGAGAGAAGTAAGCTTTAAAGCCTTAAAGTGGGGAGCAAACTCAATAAACGCAATAAATAGATTGTTGACTAAGGGGTCTGGTGGTGTGAATGGTGCCATTTCCTTTTTTTTTTCAGTAATGCCTATGAGTGGTGCCACTTTAAATCTCAAGCTAATTGATTGTTAATTCTAGACTAGACTTCTAGTACTTGAATCATCATGCGAGTGTAAATTGTACTACTGATGAACAAGTGAATTTAGCATTTGCAAGCTCATTGCTTCGTCAAATCTCTAACCTCATTCACAATGAGTATTCCCGGTCCGACCTAGAATTCAAATTATGACCTTATGGGACCATTAGAAATCTTATTTTTTATTATTATAAGAAAGAAAAGAAAAATGCAAAAGTACAAAGAAAGAACCGTTAGATTTGAATTTGAAGTTATTTTGCAAATCAAAGTGAGTATGACCATGATGGCTTCTGGTCTTTGGCCTTTAGCTAACAGAAAAAAGTGGTCTCATTCCAAATGCCACTCAAAGAAACAACTTAAACGGTCATCTTCTCTGTGGGATTGGCAGCAGCAACTCATCAACCCACACATATTAATTATCAGTGAAGGACCAGTTTTCATCCAGGAAACAGTTTCCCAGAAAAAGGAAAAGGATGCTATTGACAGTATTCAAACTTTTGAGAATCTTCTCTTTAGTGGGCTGAAATGTCACATATCCCACATCAAAAGAAGTTAAAGACCTACCCTAGAAAGGCACAAAAATGTTTGATTGCCAATTTTGACCAAGTCAAAGTTTTCTTTCTTCCACAAATCATTTGAACATGTTTCATCGATCAAATATTTCGGAGCTCAATTTGCCATGTCCCATAATTTAGGCCTTATGATATATACCTCCACTATCTATTATGTTATGAAATGTATCTTATTGACAAGAAATAAATCATATCAGGGCTTTTGCAGTTTTGCTTCAAAGATTAAAATTTTAGAGTTCAATTCAAATGTTTCAAAAAATTAGCACTTGTAACTAAATGATTCATGTTTTAAACTTAAGAAGACGATGATTTTTATGTCTTTTAGTTTGCTCCAGCGGTTGATATTGTACCCTACCCCTATTTTCAAAATTTTCTTGTTCAAAATTTACACTTGGAAGTTGTTCATTCTGAATCCTTCATATCTATATTCTCTTTCCTTCTTCCAAAATTTCCCTGTTCAAAAACGAAAGATTATATCCAACACTTGGTAGTTGTTCATCCATATCTGTATTCTGTTTCATCTAGATTAAATCACTGGGCCTAAGCCCAGAATGAATAGCCAGGTTCAAGTCCAAATCATCAACCTCAATTCCAATGGATGATGTTCTGTAGACGACCACAGTATAGGTACAGCAGTGTTGCAGACTTGCAGTAATTCGCAATAAGGGAAGTTGTTACTGTTGGCCCGTGAGTTGGTACATGTCCACATTTTTCCTGACACATTAAGACAACAAAATCTAGCCTAACATAATAATAATTCATGAAATCTTATTAATGGTAAGGATCCAACACAAAATCTTGTGAACTGAAATACTGGGAAGAGAAACACCAATTTCACATTGTTTGATTAGATCCCCATTCATGTCTTCCAACACCGTAAAACCTGTGCCTTTGATGGCGTGTCGGCAATCCTCAGTGGCGGAAGCAAACACACTGCATCTCCCGAACCATATCCAGGATGCAATCAGTGTTGAGATCACCTTTAGCTAAGGACAGCTCTGAAGAAGAAGATAATCATTGAGGAAGAGAAAACAAGGGCAGATGCATGACAATAGAACATCCATGTCTTTATAATACAAGCTAAAGACCGAGGTTGAGTCCTGACACTCAGATGGACCTCAGATATAGAATGCTTAACAAGGACAGACGAACCTCAGATATCACGTTTCAACCATTCACATCTGACGTTGTGAAACTTCTCTCATTGCATAATGGATACCTACCAAATCAATTATGGATGCCATCAAATGGTAAAAGATGAGAAATGTCATTTTTGTTTGAATATCAGAACTACATTTCAATTAGTAAAAATCAAATGACAGACAGCAAAGCAGAATGCCGCTATCAAACCCTGAAGCTAGAATAGCTGCTCTTTTAACATTACACTGCCAAAAACTCTAGCTTCCAAAATTTACAGAGAAGCTGAAATGCTGTTCTGACAACAAAATATATATACCATCAAATTATGTCTCTAAATCTACCACGGCCAGGAAAAAAAATCGATAACTAAAAAAAATGTATACAGGAAAAAAATTAAACTTGAGAGCATCAGTCTTCCACCAAAAAAACGTCACAGTGTGATGCAGACCTGTCAAGACATTTGGCCAACATTGGTCCTGATGACACTTCACTGTGAGGATATACCTTCAAGACATTTTTATGGATTGATGTTGCACTCTCGTAGATAAACGTTGTCATAATCCACAAAATTTTCCCAGTAAATTCGGAACTTCTGTATGCTTATTTCAAGCCACGGTTTCAAGTTGCCATTATAATGTATGACAGCAGCTCGTTCAATGTCCCTCTGGTTCACATTTGGATTGTAGCCAAGGCCAAGCACGTGCCAAAATCGGTTAAGAGGATAAGTGCGTTTCCAAAACGTTATGAGACCAGGGGGAAGGGTCCCCAATTTCCATAATTGCCGGTCATGATTCTGCAGAAGGAAAAAGTTGCATTTAGAACCAAGCACATGATAGTATCCTGCCCAGCATAACACAGCACAATTATACAGATCCATACATGTCCGTTTCAATCAAGTATCTTGAGCATTACTTACCAGCTTCTGCCATCCATGATAAACTTCTGTGATGTTTTGTCGCCTCCATTCATCCAGATCAAAAATGTTCATTCCATATGCCCATCCACAAGCATGAGGATCAAAGTTCTTTGAGATGAGAGGATTGGAGAAGTTGAGATACCGATCAAAACGATGGAAGCTTTCTCCACATGTCTCTACAGCACCATTGACATTGCCCTTCAAATCAATGGACCATAGACCACTAAGATCCTTCTTCACCACTATATCATCATCTAAGAAAAGCACTTTGTTGAGCTTGGGAAAGACTTCTGGAAGGTAAAAACGGAGGTGGTTCAGGATGGACAAATACTTTGGGTTCCGAAACTTCAAATTTGTATCAGAGTTGGCCCGATGTGCCCTGAAGTAATAATCTATCATGGATGGAGAACCTAACTGCTTGAGAACCGGGCTGTAACTTGAATTTAACCATGTGAATTCTTCAATGTTCTGCACCTGAATAGTGGCTCTTCCTGGTGGATTTGTTAGAAACCACATCCTCATTGCAGCATAGTTAAGCCTATCGGTAACAATGTGGAAGACATGATTTGAAGGGTGCTGCCATGAAATCAAGCACATGAAATAAGCTCACTATGACAACCAAGAGCAAAGTTACTAGTAGGTTAAAAATAAAATAACTCAATTGATGTTCCAGTTATCCCTTAGTAAAGTCTAATCTTTAAAAAGGCATATTTACCTTAGCATGAGCCACAGTTGAGTTCACAACAACTGCTGCCGCCAACACATTGTCTGAGAAAAGTGCATAATGGAACAGACGGGGGTCTTCTAATTTCTCTTGATTTGGAAAATGGCGCTGAGAAGAATTCAAGGTGTAGTATTCAGTAGTAAGACGCAAAGGAAGACAGTGAAGTCCCTTTGGAAGAGTTTTTGCAGTTAATTGTGTTAAGAACAGGGTCTGCTTCTTATGCACCCGCAGCTGCTCCTCTGTTGAGTGAAGCATAGCCCGAAGCTTCTTTACCAATGCAGCACAGTCATCTTGGATCTGCTTGCTTTTGGCTAATGATTGCTCCATTGCTTTTAATTTATCATAAGCACTGCAATAACATAAAACACAATAACAAATTAAAGCAATCAAAAATTGAAATTTAATTTACAACTGACTGATCAATTCACAAGTTGTGTGCCCCAGAACCAAAGCAAGAAATCTGAGGTAATTGTATGAGAAGTGTTTATATTTTCAGAAACAAAAACTCACTTCTTGGCCAAATCAGAATCCTTGTTTGCATCGCCAAGTGCACGGGAAACTTCCTTGATCCGCAGTCTTAGCTCCCTAGTCATGTGGGGATTGTTTTTAATGGCTGGGAGAGAAAGGTACACCTTTGCCCGAATGAGCTGATCTTTGAGATGCCGCACCCGAGCATCAGGCATGAGTGCTGGCTCTGTCTGCACTCGAGGCTTGTCATCCAAAGGTTCTTTCTGATCATTCTTGCCAGAAGTTTGACTAGATTCTTCCTTAAGCTTTGCATCCTATAGAATAGGCAAAAAAGAATCCCACATAAAGTAAGCCAAAATGCAGGCACATACTTTCCTCTTATCCCAAATTTTGTTGTCATATCAAGGAAGTGAGCATTCCATAACCACTAGATAAGAAAACAATATAATGTCATACAAAATTAATAAGAGTCCAGACAGCTTTCCCAATCCCTCACTGTCAAGACTCTACTTCTTATTCCTAATGCATGAATAAACTAACAGAAAATAAGCACTAAAAAAGAAATCATATCTAATTCCGACAAATTAGGTTTGCATTTGGTGATTGATGCCACAAATTAGATGAAAAACCTAGCCCCACATGCTCTGAGCAGGTAGCAAGAATCAAAAATAAAAGTAAAAAAAAATGTTTACCACATTTTGGGGATCATTTTCAGATATCTGCTGAGATAACGATAAATCGTCACCCTCGTCCATGGGATCTTCAATATCAGGCTTTTGAGTCCGACTCTGACTGACGGCATTATCAGTTACCTGTCTGATGAGCGTCTCCGATCGGGACTGATCTTCTTCATTAGTTGCAGAGAGTACTCTGGTTGATTTATGGTCTCTTGAATCTGGCAATTGCAAATCAAGGTGAGCAAATACACACAATTGAACAAGATTAGAGATGGAAGGACGAAAAA